ATTACCTTGTGCTCATCTTAATGTAGCAACTTCCTCTTCCAATCCTAAAACCAGTTCAAGTTATGTTTTAGCTAGTTCAAGTTTTGTCAATTGCTGCTGATAATTAGTGTATGGAAAATAATCAATGTGATGTAAAAACTAGTCTTACTATGCTATGACATGCTAGGTTTGGTCATCAACATGTGAAAACTAAATTCCATGTATGTAGTTCTTTTGGAGATAAAATGCCTTTGTGAAGCTTGTCAATTTGGAAAAATGCAGCAAATTCCTTTTCCATTTCTGATTTCAAAACCAAAGCTCTACTTGAATTGATTTATTCTGATTTATGGGGGCATGCTCTTGTTGTTTCTTCTTAAGGATATAGATATTATATTGTGTTTGTGGATTATTTTATTAGGTACATGTCGATATATCCATTAAAATTGAAATCCGAGTCTTCTACAGTTTTTACTCAGTTTCATTGCCTTATGGAGAAACTTTTCTAGTTATTTGGGTTTTTTTTTTTTTTTTCATATATCTATGTTTTAATTATATTGTACAATGCTTCACGTTAAGAGAATACAAAATATGTGAGCACATTTAAGTTTTCTAATTGTTTTTAAACTTTGTGAAATATAACATATAGCATACTTGATTACAAGTGCATATATGCCAACATACTAATTTTAAAATGCTTCTAATGGTACAAAAAAACAACTTAAAAGATATATATATTCAAATATTAAAAAAAAAAAAAAAAAAGTTACTATCTTTAAGAGGATACTTACGTTTAAAACCGAAAGAAAAATAACATAAGTTTCATTTGTATCAATTAACAAACACTTTTCTAATTCAACCAACACTAGTCTATTAATAAACAAACACTTTTTAACACTATTTATCAACAAACATGTACTTTTTTCCAGACATAATCTATAAAGTGTCCGTTTATTATAAAAAATAAAATTTGTGTCCTTTTACTTTTACTTTTTAAAATAAATGTCCTCTAAAATGATAATATGCAAAAAAGAAAAATATGATTCAAACCTTTTAGAAAAATTCTAGTAGAAACTCCATACACAATAATAAGCCACCTAACATCATGTTCTTTTTTCTTCTTTACTCTATTTTAAATATGTTGAATAATTATCTAATACATGTTTCTAACAAGTCTATAAAAATAGTTCTTGCTAAATGAATTAAGAATTTCTTTTCCAACTTTTTACAAATCTTATGAGATGTATAAATTAATGTTGTATTTTGTTCAAATAAAGCTCGAATTTTAAAAAGAATCTTAATCTATAAAATAATAGTTGATTGTTATTACAATGTATTTTAGGGGGCAATAGCACCATTCTAGTTTGATGATTAGCTTCCTCCATTGTTTTATTGTGTGAATGTGCAACATGTAATCTATAAGCATTGAAATTTCAAAAAATTGAGAGAAATGAGAAAATGAATAAAGAATTAAGATAAATCATAAAAACATGGAAAACAAAATTAGCGTTTTTCCCTTCTTAATGATTGATTTGACCAAAATGGGCATGCCAAACTCAAACTCGACTGGTCTAAAGAACCTAAAACTTTTTTCCCAAATCGTATATTTCTTCAACTATCACAATATTTTTATCATACCATATATTATTTATCCATTAATACTATTAATTTTATACCGTAATTATATAAATTTTTATTAACTAATACGACCCATTTGACACTTCTACTCAACAATACTCTCTAACATTACATCACAACTTTATTATTTTATGGTCAGCCATTGATGTGTCACTTTAAAAATAAACCTTAAAATAAACTATATCTTAAGATTCCCCAAGTACTATACTAAATAATTAACACAAAAAATTGTCAATCCTCTAATGGATATATCGGTGGGTCCATCTTCATGAAACCGCGTTTCAACAGTTAACACTATGCTTCTGAATCCATATTTTCCTCAGTTTCCTTCTTCCAATCCTGAAACCTGTCATTCTTTAATTGGTTCCTGCAACAGATTTTATATTCTTTTTTGGAATTCAAGCAATTTAGCATCTAGATTTTATATCACCATGTTTGTCTCTCACTCCAGCAGCTACCTGGAAGCTCGGTTCCTCCAGGATTGTATAAATACCAATCACAACTCCACTTTTATCATCACTCATCACTATCTCTCCTCGCAATAACCATTATTTGTATAATTACCTGAACATTTTCCACAAACTTTTGGTTGACTGTGCATGGAGTCCTCGAGTAACCTTCATGGCGGGACGCCGTCTAGTTATCGGGGCGTCCGCAAGCGAAAATGGGGCAAATGGGTGTCGGAGATTCGCGAGCCTGGAAAGAAAACTCGAATCTGGTTGGGAAGTTTCGAGACAGCGGAAATGGCGGCGGCGGCATACGATGTTGCAGCTTTATTCTTCCGGGGGCGTGAGGCCCGCCTTAATTTCCCGGAGCTGGCGAGTTCGCTCCCCAAGCCCGCGAGTTCCAATGCAGACGATATCCGCATGGCTGCCCACGAGGCGGCCGTGCGCCTCAGGAGCAGTAGCAATTGTTCTAACACAGCAATATCCGAGGGCTCGTCCATGGGGTGCGGCGTGGGCGCTGATGGGACAAGCTTGGGTCCCGTCACTGTCAGGCTGTCGCCCAGCCAAATCCAGGCGATAAACGATTCACCAATGGATTCACCGAAGATGTGGATGCAGATGACAGAGGAATTAATGTTACAGGAATCCATGATGTTCTCCAATGAGGTTGAGGAGAATGACGAGTGGAGTTATAATATGCAAAGTGACTCCCTTTGGGACCCTTAGGTAACTTTATCCATTAAAACCCTTCATTCATTGATCACTATTATTATTTAACATATAGAATAAGAACAGGGTTTGTTGAAGTACTGACCCGTAATATTATCGAGTCAATGTAACTTTTAAGTTCGATAATATTATCAAGTCAATATCGATATCGATCGTCGTTGCATAGTTTATACCGAATTTTTTTTGACATTAATTATATTGGTTATTAATTGATGAAATAGTAGAAGAAGCAGAAGGGAGTTGGGTTTTAAGGAAATGACATTCTGCAGATTCATTTTAATTAAAAATGACCGAAGATATTTTGTGGGTGAAACATGTAGTGAAGGGCCACGATCGATGTATTGGGTATTATTATTATTATTGGCCTAACAAGTGTGTGGTGTGATTTTTTTTTTAATTTTTTAATTGTAATTTGTTTTTATATATATATGTACTTCTCAAGCTTAATAAGAAAGATGGGATCTCTTTGTTGTTTTCTACTGGCAATGATTGTGTAGCTCGGGCCTCTGATTATAATTTTCATAGTGGGATTTGTCTTTTATTATCAATAAGAAGAGTTAAAATTGACCCGGTATAATTAAATAATAAAAATATATTTGAAAGCATTTGAAATAACAAAAATTCTTTTATTATTCAAATTTTAAGTGTTAAAATAAAGATCGAGAGAATATTTTGATAAAATGTTATTTATTTTATAATATTGTAAATTCAAATAATTAATTAACAGTTTATTAATGATATGAGAATTTTTTTATTATTTCAGAAACTTGAAGGAAATTTTTGTTATCTGATTTCTTAATATTAAGAGTTTATATTACAGTATAAAGATAATTTTAATTCTACAGTTAACATATTTAAATCTTGATATAAAAATTAAGATTTAAAGGTGTTTAGTGGGAAGAGGATTAATCTCCTCGACTTTAATTCTTGCCTCAAATAAAGGATTTAATATAAATAAAACATAGAATTCAACCTAAAATTTGAAAGTATTGAATATGAATTTGTAATACAATAATACAATAATAAATTAATAAAATGAAACATATAGATTTATCCAACCGGATATGAATCGAATGAAAAATTATTTAGCGAGTACTTTACCAAGTTTTTCAATATTAGTCAATCGTAGTGCAAAGGTGAGTGGAATGCAATAAATAACAACTTAAAATGAAATAATGAGGATAAAGAAATCAACAAAAGTTATTTATCATCGTCGGAATAATTATCTAATACATGTTTCTAACAAGTCTATAAAAATAGTTCTTGCTAAATGAATTAAGAATTTCTTTTCCAACTTTTTACAAATCTTATGACATGTATATATTAATGTAGTATTTTGTTCAAATAAAGCTCGAATTTTAAAAAGAATCTTAATCTATAAAATTATAGTTGATTGTTATTACAATGTATTTTAGGGGGCAATAGCACCATTCTAGTTTGATGATTAGCTTCCTCCATTGTTTTATTGTGTGAATGTGCAAGATGTAATCTATAAGCATTGCAAATTCAAAAAATTGAGAGAAATGAGAAAATGAATAAAGAATTAAGATAAATCATAAAAACATGGAAAACAAAATTAGCGTTTTTCCCTTCTTAATGATTGATTTGACCAAAATGGGCATGCCAAACTCAAACTCGACTGGTCTAAAGAACCTAAAACTTTTTTCCCAAATCGTATATTTCTTCAACTATCACAATATTTTTATCATACCATATATTATTTATCCATTAATACTATTAATTTTATACCGTAATTATATAAATTTTTATTAACTAATACGACCCATTTGACACTTCTACTCAACAATACTCTCTAACATTACATCACAACTTTATTATTTTATGGTCAGCCATTGATGTGTCACTTTAAAAATAAACCTTAAAATAAACTATATCTTAAGATTCCCCAAGTACTATACTAAATAATTAACACAAAAAATTGTCAATCCTCTAATGGATATATCGGTGGGTCCATCTTCATGAAACCGCGTTTCAACAGTTAACACTATGCTTCTGAATCCATATTTTCCTCAGTTTCCTTCTTCCAATCCTGAAACCTGTCATTCTTTAATTGGTTCCTGCAACAGATTTTATATTCTTTTTTGGAATTCAAGCAATTTAGCATCTAGATTTTATATCACCATGTTTGTCTCTCACTCCAGCAGCTACCTGGAAGCTCGGTTCCTCCAGGATTGTATAAATACCAATCACAACTCCACTTTTATCATCACTCATCACTATCTCTCCTCGCAATAACCATTATTTGTATAATTACCTGAACATTTTCCACAAACTTTTGGTTGACTGTGCATGGAGTCCTCGAGTAACCTTCATGGCGGGACGCCGTCTAGTTATCGGGGCGTCCGCAAGCGAAAATGGGGCAAATGGGTGTCGGAGATTCGCGAGCCTGGAAAGAAAACTCGAATCTGGTTGGGAAGTTTCGAGACAGCGGAAATGGCGGCGGCGGCATACGATGTTGCAGCTTTATTCTTCCGGGGGCGTGAGGCCCGCCTTAATTTCCCGGAGCTGGCGAGTTCGCTCCCCAAGCCCGCGAGTTCCAATGCAGACGATATCCGCATGGCTGCCCACGAGGCGGCCGTGCGCCTCAGGAGCAGTAGCAATTGTTCTAACACAGCAATATCCGAGGGCTCGTCCATGGGGTGCGGCGTGGGCGCTGATGGGACAAGCTTGGGTCCCGTCACTGTCAGGCTGTCGCCCAGCCAAATCCAGGCGATAAACGATTCACCAATGGATTCACCGAAGATGTGGATGCAGATGACAGAGGAATTAATGTTACAGGAATCCATGATGTTCTCCAATGAGGTTGAGGAGAATGACGAGTGGAGTTATAATATGCAAAGTGACTCCCTTTGGGACCCTTAGGTAACTTTATCCATTAAAACCCTTCATTCATTGATCACTATTATTATTTAACATATAGAATAAGAACAGGGTTTGTTGAAGTACTGACCCGTAATATTATCGAGTCAATGTAACTTTTAAGTTCGATAATATTATCAAGTCAATATCGATATCGATCGTCGTTACATAGTTTATACCGATTTTTTTTTTTACATTAATTATATTGGTTATTAATTGATGAAATAGTAGAAGAAGCAGAAGGGAGTTGGGTTTTAAGGAAATGACATTCTGCAGATTCATTTTAATTAAAAATGACCGAAGATATTTTGTGGGTGAAACATGTAGTGAAGGGCCACGATCGATGTATTGGGTATTATTATTATTATTGGCCTAACAAGTGTGTGGTGTGATTTTTTTTTTAATTTTTTAATTGTAATTTGTTTTTATATATATATGTACTTCTCAAGCTTAATAAGAAAGATGGGATCTCTTTGTTGTTTTCTACTGGCAATGATTGTGTAGCTCGGGCCTCTGATTATAATTTTCATAGTGGGATTTGTCTTTTATTATCAATAAGAAGAGTTAAAATTGACCCGGTATAATTAAATAATAAAAATATATTTGAAAGCATTTGAAATAACAAAAATTCTTTTATTATTCAAATTTTAAGTGTTAAAATAAAGATCGAGAGAATATTTTGATAAAATGTTATTTATTTTATAATATTGTAAATTCAAATAATTAATTAACAGTTTATTAATGATATGAGAATTTTTTTATTATTTCAGAAACTTGAAGGAAATTTTTGTTATCTGATTTCTTAATATTAAGAGTTTATATTACAGTATAAAGATAATTTTAATTCTACAGTTAACATATTTAAATCTTGATATAAAAATTAAGATTTAAAGGTGTTTAGTGGGAAGAGGATTAATCTCCTCGACTTTAATTCTTGCCTCAAATAAAGGATTTAATATAAATAAAACATGGAATTCAACCTAAAATTTGAAAGTATTGAATATGAATTTGTAATACAATAATACAATAATAAATTAATAAAATGAAACATATAGATTTATCCAACCGGATATGAATCGAATGAAAAATAATTTAGTGAGTACTTTACCAAGTTTTTCAATATTAGTCAATCGTAGTGCAAAGGTGAGTGGAATGCAATAAATAACAACTTAAAATGAAATAATGAGGATAAAGAAATCAACAAAAGTTATTTATCATCGTCTGGCTCTAATATGACCTTGTTAGACAAACAGTAAAACAGTGACGTTTGTATAAAGCCCAAAGTGTTGTCGTTTTGAATTGTAATAATCAGCTATTAAAGCTGACTTTTGTAATACTGTTCATTAAGGAAAAACACGGGAAGTATTTCTTCTTTCTCACTGATTTTTTGCTCTCAAATCCCTAACCTTCACAAAATTCCCTAACATTCACATGGTATTAGAGCATCTTTGACTAACGTCAATGGCGGAAAAATCTGATAGCTCCAATTCAACCGAAAACATTAATAGAATGTTTCACAACTCTGTCAACAATTCTCTCAATCTCACTTCCTCAGTATTTCATCTAGCCTCCAAGTCATTAATCCAAAGCTTACTCTAGATAATTACAGATTCTGGCGTTCTCAAATACTCTTTGCAGTAGGAGCTCACGAATTGGAAGATCATCTAACAGGTTTAGTTCCCTGTCCAGCTCCTTTAATTCCTAGCAATTCTGATAGTTCTAAAGATACTGTTGATGGTCAAGATGTTGAGCTATTTTCTAAAGAAAAGATCAATGCAGCTTACACTCTATGGAAATGAACTGATAAGTTTCTTGTGAGCTGGTTATTAGCTTCAATATTTGAGAATATGTTTAGAACTATTTCTAAATGTCAGTATTCCACTGAAATTTGGTTTGTTCTTGAAAAAGAGTTCATTACAGACTCCAAAGTTAGCGCTTTACATTTAAAGAATTTACTTCAGAATACTAGCAAAGACAATCTTAGTATAAGTGAATATGTTAGAAAGATGAAAGGAATTTCTAACAGTTTGTCAGCTAGTTGACAAATTATATCTGAGGAAGATTTGCTTCAATATATCTTAGATGGACTAGGTCCAGAATATGATGTTGTTGTTGTAAACCTCACCTCAAGAATTGAATCTAGAACTGAGTCAGTGTCCTTGCAAGAAGCTCAATTTTTGTTGTAAAAGTACGAAATCAGGTTGGACAAGTTCAATTCAGTAGACTTTCATAATAGCTCAGCTCACACTGTAGCTACAATAAAAACCAGTTCCACATTTGTGCCTAGTAATCATACTCAGCATGTCACCCCTGGTTTTACTAACGTGTCTCATAGTCTTGATCCATCCTTAAACACATTAGGAAGTCATAAGCTACATGGTAACTATCCTGTTGCTACTGGACAGATAGGCCAAACCATATCTAGTTCTCAATTTGGTCAGCAAGGTTATCCTGATACCAATAGTGGTTTTGGATCTAGTTTTGGATATAACTTTGGAAGTTATAGACCTTATTTTAATAATTTTGGAAGAGGTAGAGGCAGATCTAATGGAAGAGGTAAACCTGTTTGTCAGGTTTGCAATAAGACTGGACATATTGCCATACAATGCTATCACAGGCACAATTCAGCTTATAATGGACAGATGCAAGGCATTGGTTATCAGAACTTTTACAATAATGGTAATCTGCAGTCCACTGGTCCACAAAACTTCTACACTAATCCTGGTATTTCACATCAAGGTTATAGGATGTTTAATGTACCAAGTCATCAGGATCAGAATTTTAGTTGAGCATCCAACTCTTCTAATTTTTTTACTCCATCTCAGCAAGGCTTTGGACATGTTACCTTTCCACATAATTATTCTCATGCTGGCAGTTCTAGAAATGTACCATCTCAAGCATCAATTCAAGCTCATTTTGCTGCTCAAACTGTTCAGAATACCAACTCAGTTACTGATTATGGACATATTCTCAACTCATCTAATCATGGAGCTCAACCTGTTATGGTGAATCAGAACACTGGTCTGTCTGTTTATAAAGCTTCATCATCCACTCCACAGGATCCCACCTGGTACATGGACTAAAGAGCAACTGACCATGTTACATCTGACCTTACTCAATTAAACATCAGCAAGGACTATGATGGATCAGATCAACTCCAAGTAAGCAGTGGTGAGTTCCTTCACATTACACACACTGGTTTTACTTCTTTGCCTAGTATTTTACAGAATAAATGTTTACATTTAAAACACGTTCTCTGTGTTCCTAGAATAACCAAAAACTTACTTAGCATATCAAAATTAACTAAAGACAATAATGTTGTAGTTGAATTTAATGCTGATTCTTGTGTTGTTAAGGACAAAGTCAACAGAGCAACTTTACTACAAGGAGAGCTTAGAGCAGGCTTATATCAACTGAACCTTTCCCCAAAATTACCTTCATATTCACCTTCTTGCTTAAAGTCATCAATTTCACCTCAGAATTGTTCCTATAATGTCAACCTAACTGTTGAACCTTTAAATGAGTCTCATAATTGTACTATCAATAAAGATGTTGTTATAGTGATAATGATAGCTTAGTGGTCAAATAAATAGTATGCAGAATGCTACTACACCTTGTACTGATAACTCTACATCTTGTATTGAAAATTCTGATTCCTCCTATTCATCCAGTGTTAATAAAAACAATGATGTTTCTGCTTCAGTTTGTGTTGATATAGTTTTAGTTGCATCTGATAATTATGTTTCACCCTATGTTAATGAAGATTTCATTGTATCTGATAATTCCTTAGTTGACTCTAATAGTAATAATACTTCACTACCATCTGTTCATGTTGTTCATAAACACACTGATGATGCTATGTTATGGCATATGAGGTTAGGACATCCATACTTAGCAACCTTGCAAAAGATTTTAACAAGTATGGTAGCAAGTGAATCCCTAATCACTAAACCTAAACTGCCAATTCCCTTTTGTGATGCCTGCCATTTAGGGAAAATGCATCAAAAAACCTTTCCTACTTCACATTCTAGAGCTAGTGCACCTCTTGAACTTGTTCATAGTGATATACGGGGTCCTGCTCCATTGGTTTCCACAGAAGGTTTTAGGTATTATGTACACTTTATAGATGATTACAATAGATTCACCTGGTTATTCACTCTTAGGACAAAGGCTGAAGTCAAATCTATATTTGCAAAATTCCATCATCTAAGCAGAAAGACAGTTTAATTGTAAATTGAAATGCCTTCAATCTGATCAAGGAGGTGAGTACAAGGGACTGGTTTCATATCTTACCACTGAAGGCATTCAATTCAAATATTCTTGTTCCTATGTGCATCAGCAAAATGGTCGTAGTGAAAGAAAACATAGGCACATAGTTGAAGCAGGCCTTACTCTCTTAGCTCATGCATCTATGCCTTTAGATTTTTGGTGGCTTGCCTTTGAATCTGCTGCATTCCTCATTAATAGAATGCCTTCACCAGTAACTGATAATCTGTCTCTTTATCAGTTGTTGTTTAAGACAGTTCCTATTTATTCAACACTCAAAGTGTTTGGTTGTGCATGTTTTCCTTTTGTTAGAACTTTCAATAGACATAAATTTAGTTTCCATTAGTCAAAATGTGTCTTTGAAGGGTATAGTTTAGTTCACAAAGGCTATAAGTGTCTTACACCTGATGGCAAAATCATTGTTACACCTAGTGTCAAATTCAATGAATTCGATTTCCCTTGTTTCACTGGTTTTAAGTATCCTAACCTGTCCACACTTTCTCCTTCATACCAGAATCAGTTTCCTGTCTTTCTGAACAGTTTTCTAGTTTACCTTTTCAATATATAGCTCCTTCTGAGTCTCCTGCAGTAAAGTGCTTTGTACCTAAGTTCTCTACAACAACTGGTTATCAAAATTCCTCCACAACTTCTCCTTTTCCTTTCTATCATAACACTGTTCCCATATCTAAAAAACAATCTGCCATATCACCTATAGTATCCTCAACTCACTCAACCACACTCTCTCCTACACCTTCTACAACTGATACTCCATTTAACATTAATCCATCATCATCTACATCTCGCCAATCACCACAAACTATTCCTTCAGACAAGGTTATTCCCATCTGCTCTATTGAGGTTGATTTGTGTCCATCTTAGTATGCTGA